TTATGAGTCTGACATGTAACATTGCCATAACATTTATGTAAGTAGGTGTACGCCTAATTAACTAATGTACGAGTTACAAAGTTGAATTTGTTTTGGTTGTTAATGCGTTAGAAATATACTGCAAAAAGAGTTGGGACAAAAAAGTTGGCACAGTACCTACAGTAGTCTATTGCTGCAACTTTCCCTGTTTTGTAAAATGAAGACCTACAGTATATCTGACCGTGTCATACTATGAAAGGTTTGGTTCTTGTTTATGCTGGTTTTGAGCTGTGTCACTTCTCGGCACATCTCTCTGGGTGTGTCACATTTAGAGATGAAAATGATCCTGTAATTAAGCAGCAACAGGAGTTAGTGACAGCTGAAGGAGAGGAGGCTCAGGCAGTACACTACTCATTAAATGATAATTATACACCACGCAGACGCTGAAGGGAAACATTAACATTAGATGGTTTACTGAAGGAGAAAAAAGGTATCTCATGTTTAAATTAGGGAGGGGTCACGCTTTGTGTGGAGATAGGCCTGGCTATACATCACCAGCTACAAGCCAGGCTGAATTAGTCTAAGAAACCAGTGCGCTCCCCACTACTGGTTCAGAGCCAAATATCTGAAAAAGTAATACAGGAAAAGCTCACATATTACAAGTCTACAGCAGCACTCTCACCGTCTTTTTGCTTGAAATGCCCATCCCTAGGTTAAATATGGCAACATTCACCTGCACCTATGTCTATTATCTCACCAGCTCGCGGCTGACAGACAGTCAACTTGCTGTTGCATGAAACAGACAAATGTTGGAGGTAAGCAGTTACGTAACCAACCTCTTAATTACTCCCAGATGACTGCCCACCGCAGAGTGAGGATGGAAAGTACAAGGTCCATTCCATTCAGTCTGAATGTCAAACGTTAATTCAGTAGCATCTCTTCAGGGCGGCGAGCAGTCACTCCACTGCCTCTGTACATCTGGGAAACACTGCACGCCAACCGTGCTTACAGTCACCAAAGTATGTTTGGTGACCCATTTTAGCATTTTGCAGAGAAGCAGAGAGAGCAACGTTATCGTGAGAAGATATTTTACAAGCACGGACCAGGTAAAGCAACAGTGAGCACATCAGTGCTGATGTCAGTTGGTACCACGGTGATTTCGATAGGCTAGGTCGTTAACAACACCAACACCTGCTGCTCTAAAAACACAATCATGGGTGAAAACGTGGACGACTTCATAAAACACACTACTTATAACCATCAAATAAATCGCTTACGATAGAGGAGAGGTTCATCTGTCCCGTCTTCGTCCTCTGCCTCAGCTGACAGCAGGTGCTGATGGCTTTGCCCACAGTTCTACTAGCTGGCTATTAATGTTGCTCTACTGCTGACAAACTTTGCACTGGCATGATCGTGTTTGTGTTCTCCACTGATGAAGAAAATATGTTTATGTTATGGAACGTGCTGTCCAGTGGCAGACCTCAGGCTCACTAACAATAAAAAAGCTTCACAGTTACTTGCTTACCATCCCACAACCATCCAAATGAGAAATCTGATAAATGTTGTACAACCTTGGCCCATCGGGAGTGGGAGTGGGGGCTGGATATGCCCGTACAAAATGGCTTATTCGAGCCCTGTAAGATAGTTTAGCTGGGTGAAGTTATTTGCATTTTCTCAGTAGAATTATACAGACTGCAATCATTGATTTGTTACTAAGCTGGGCAATAAAACAATAATGATGATTATCGCAATATAATTTTCCTCAACAATATAATAAATGTTCAATAAATCGTCAATAAATATTTGGTTTAATTCATTTGAATCTCAAACAAATTGGCAGTTAATTTTTCTATTAAAAATATTTATTTATTTGAGAAAAAAAAAGCCTAATTAACTAATCATATTTGTTGAAAGCAGATTTTATCACAATAGTTTTGAATGTGCCACCCCAGATTTGTGAAGTGACCCACTGTATGGCATCAAGTGTTTTTCACATTCTGACCATTAAGAAACGTTTAACAACATAATTAACCATCTGGTTTCTTCAACTTTCACTCAGGAGCAAAAATCAGACTTTAAACCTAAAAGAAATAATGATTTGACATTTATCGTGAGATTAACGATATCGAATGATATGAAATGTTTTTATCGTGATAACATTTTTGGCCATATCAGCCGGCCCTAATTAAGAGTGGACAATGAAATATATGAAGATTTGAAAGCTAGGAATTTAGGTTTGACCATTTTCTCTCAGATAACGTTACATCCAGCATTGGCACATTTCCCCTATTTTCACAGCACTCACTGATATCTGCCCGTAGACTGGCCATACTGACACATCGTTCCACAGCAGTGATGAAGACTCATTCATCATTCGACCACTAGTTCCAATTATCTCCAGTAAATAACTTGCTTATCATCTTTCCTTCAGTGAAGTAGCATTCAGTTTGAAGGACAAAATGCACACACAGGGAACAGTGTTATTGAAGTGGCCTTTTTGATTTTTTCCTCCCCAATTTAGCAAAGAGACAAGTCCAAAGACAATGCACATTTCTACATGTTGCACGTTATGTTCAATAAAAAGACCTCTGTTGTTAATGTCTTGCATAATACCTATTAATGCATCCAACCTGTCCAGCAGTGAGTACCATAACTGTTGGACTGCATCTGACTGTCTGTAGAGGTCAAAATGATCACCTTCATCAGTCATGAGGAGTCATGACTCATGAGTCGAAGCTTATCTCCAGTGGAGGGGCATTAACTTCCACAATCTCTCCAGCGATTACATCATGATGAGTGCATCACCTGAAATGTGTCTGTTTAATGCTGCCGGGCCTGAACGTGGAAATCAATGGAGCAGCGGACAGAACAGGCTTGTTTGCTGTTCCACCATACATCCCCCTGAGAATCAGCGTCCACACTCATTAATGAAGACAAACAGACATAATACTGATGCGCTGTGCATCCAGGGACAGATGGAGATATCGACAGGCTTCTGATTATTGTAAGGTTACTGACTCATTAGATGGAACGGTCTAAATCTAAATGCTTAATTCTCTGAGGTGAGGTAAACTTTCTCTCTCTTCCAGTACAGGCAAGCATATTATGGACAAAAACATTTTACAGTCAATATAAAATTAAGTAAAGGGTCAACACCTGGCTTCCTCTGTGATTTGCTTGAAATGTGTTGTGACACGTGTGTCTCCAAACTGAAGTTGAACTTGAAGGATTATGTTGATGCTCTTGAGATCATAAACGCCTTTCAGAATCATAAAGATATTTCAAAATGTAATGTTGCCAAGGCTGTTCCTTTGAAAAACCTTGGCACCTGAGATGTTTCATCTGACAGCAGCAGCGGGTTAATAGATGTTTTCTTATGTTGTTCAAATACAAACAGTTTGATGTGGAATGCATGAAAAGAAATGTTTAATTCTGGCCTATAACACAAGAGAACATGACTGATCAGGGATCACAACAAATATTACCTAGCGGCAGTTTCACAAAAATGATAATTAGCTGTCAGCTGTTTCCTTGTGGAGGTTTTGGACTGTTGGTCAACAAAATAAGCAGACTGAAGACCAAATAAACAGACAGAAGACAATAGTTTTTCACATTTGTTGATTTACAGTTTTATCTTATTACCTGAAAGTTGTGCATTTTAAATTGGCAAACAAAACAATTGTCAAATGTCAGAAAACTACTTTCTGACATTTTATAGACCAATTTATTATTATATCAATGAATTGACAAAATAACATCAATAATGACAATAATCATTGGTAGCAGCCCTCTTTTGGGATCTTGTGGTCGACATATGTCATTTTGAGACTGAAGACCTGAATAAATGACTGATGAAATCATTAGTCGCTGCCCCGTGATGTACTTCCTGATGTTGCTGTGTGTTTTTCTATCCAGGCTGGTAGCAGGTGGAAGCAGCCATTAGAACTTAGTCAAAGCCCATCAGGACCAACAAACTGCAGCTGTCCAGTGGAAACCATGCATCTCAAGAGCTGCTGGGGTTTTCATTCTTCTGAGGAACTGAAGGATCGAGTTGCTTTATGGTCTGAGATGTGGCTCCTCACAAAAATGTTCCATAAACTATTTTAAAAGCCATTTGGACTATACTAACATCACGATGCTGAACACAGGGCTGTGTTTCTAGGCTCATGAGAAGCGGACGTTTTGTGTACGGACGTTTTACAGGGCAGCAATGAAATGCAACATCTGTTGTTGAATTATTCACTTAACTTAGCAGGAATTAAGTCAGAATCATACAATTGAGGCTGTCTTGGTAAAACATAACTTACATTAACTATTTATAGTGGCATTATATATTTTATTTGAATGCAATTGCTGTTTAATATGTTGTTTTATGTATTAGTACTATTTATTTATGTAAAGGAGCAGTAAAGAGAAGTAAATGAAAAATGCATTAGCTCAACAGTGGATTCCTATTTTAATACCTCTGTCACTGAGTGCCACACAGTACCTGCTGTTACACTGTGGCAGTGCTTCTGTGTGCAACTGTTGCCGTCCACTGCTACGTATGGCTGCTGATGCCCACTACCAGCACAGGACTGGAGAGGGACAAGAATTAGCCCACTTATAAAAGACATTAAAACAAAGACTTTTCGAGCTGCCTTTCCAGATTATTTAAACATGGGTCAACCTGCGACTGCAGGAGAACTCGGAGGAGGTTAACCACAGCCACGCGTTGTTTAATCCTCCTGTTAATGAAATGTTGCCTGTGTGCCCTGCTCTCTGTGGCTCTGGATGATGGAGAGCCCAAATCTGCTGCGTGGCTGCCCGCACTCCGGATTAAAACACACACACACACACACACACACACACATCTATAGGCCTTCATGGAAATTTAAGCACAAGGACATTTTAAAGGCTACTATAATGACCACACAAGTCGTGCCAAAAATGATTGCGGGGGGGGGAAGCGGTTTGAAACAGGCTGGAGAGGGAAGGTCGCCGAGCGAGACCGACGCGAGTTAACTGCGGATTCCACTCACCTGATGCGGGGCTTCAAACTGCTGCTTTTAACATGCCGTGATCCAATAAATCCTCAGTGATCAAGCCCACGGCGCTGCTTCAAAAGGAGACCAGAACTACAGGTCACTCACAACAGTTCTTGCGCAAAACGAGACTACTCCGTGTAGTTGGAGCTTTTTCGGGATGTTTCTCCGGTCCGGCAGCCCCCACAACCGGCAGCAACAGCTGAGCCGTTATGTTTCCTCCGGACTGGATTAAGATTTAAATCTCAGACAGGTCTGGTGGCTGCGTCGCCGCACAGCAGATTCAGTCCCCCTTCAGTGTCATTAATAGCAGCGGGTTTGGATTACTGTGGCCAGCAGGCAGCGACACAACATAGGAGGGGAGAACCAGAGCAGCGGCGGCCTCGGCAGCGGGAGCGCGGAGACCCGGTCTGTGCGCCGCTGAAGCTCAGCTGGTGAAAAACGCCCTCCGAGAGTCCAGCAGACTATATATCCCTTCCACAGGGGTACTCCAGTGTCGTCCAGGTTCTTCTTGTGTCTTGAGTTTTCGGCCTCAACACAGCAGCCCTTTCTTCCTGACGAGCAGCCATCGTCCAATCACAGCGCTGCATTCAGAGAGGGGACGAAGGATAAAAAGGAGTGGATCGTAAAGGACCGGAGTCTGGACTGGACCACACGACTGCTGGAACTCAACAGTCTGACGCAGGGCTGGATTAACCCAGGGCAAGAACCCTGGGGCTAAAGGCAAGCTGTGGGCCTCTATGGGGCCCCAGTGTTCTCCAACTCAGTTTAGTTATAGCTTGATTAAATGTGGTTATTAAAGAATATGCACCATACGGACAGAATATCAACTGCGGTATTAAAAGTAGGCTATTACAGGGCCCCTCTACACAACAAGCCCCCAAGAGTGTGTGGAGGCTTAAAGCCCTTCCATTTCAATCAATCACAAAAACAATCAGAAACAGGTCATTTGGGGGTTTTGGCAATTCCATTTATTATTATTATTCCTTTTTGAACTGAAGTATGAGGAGGTCTGTGTACTTCAGTCAATTTGTAATTTTATTTGAAAACAAAAAGGAAGCAGAAGTGAAGTGTAAAAAAACTCTAAAAGTAGGCATGTGTAACCTTTTATTAGCAAAGGTTATTATAGTTAACTAAAACTAAACTAAAATCTGTGAAAAAACATTTTAGTTTACCTGAAATAAAAACAACTACTTGTCACGATTTGTGTGGTGAGGCAGGTTGGTGGACCTAAATGCAGGACACGTAGGCTGACAGGTACAGTTCAAAAGGTTTATTAAACCAAAAGCGAGCACACTTAGACTTGAGTGGCTGAGTCCAAAAACAAGGTGATCCAACAGAAATCCAAAGAAACACAACTAGTAAGGCAGGCTGCAGGACAACACACAGCAACATGGGACAGAGCGTAAACACGCTACAATAACCGTACAAAGACTAAACAGAAATACTAGGTATATGTACACACACAGGGACTAACAAGCAGGGCAGGAACAACACAGGCGACAGGGATCAGGGCAAATGAGGCAGGCAGATAGACAGCAGGGAGAAACAGAGAGACTAGCAGGCAGGCAGATTACTGAGGGGGGGGGGGGGGGGGGGTGGGGGGGCAAAACACAAGTTACTCAACACCAGAGTAATATAAATAAACTAATACAAGCAGACAGACCACAAATAAACTGACACCAACAAGGAACACAGACAGAAGCTGAGATTAAAGAGAACACAGGGCAGACAAGGGCAACATTACACAGAGGTACACAGACCAAAAGTAAACGCTAAGACATGAACTGAGACACAGAGCTAACCAAGACCACAAGACCAGTGGCCTGTACTACGAAGCGGGGTAACTGGCTTATCCAGGTAACTTCAGGAGTAACTTTGTGACGTCAGGTGTAACTTCCCGGTTAACCCGTACTACAAAAGGTGGACAGGTGTTACCCGAGGTCTGTTGCCATGGCAATTTACGCCGCATCTCTAAACTGCTCCGAGCAGGTTTTGTTCGTGGTTAACTCGAGGTTACCCTGCACGTGGACTACACACCACATCTGTACCCAGTGTTAATGATGAGAAGTAGGATATTAATAGGCTACACACCGCTTCATAAAATATGTTTAGATTTCATCCTGATTTGCTCCACTGCGGGTGCAATGAAGTTCTGAACACAACAGCATCACGTTCAGACAGCGAGCCCTGCAGCCTCTGTGATTTTAGAGAGGAATCTTAATTAAGTAACGGGACAGTTTCGTAGATGGAGCCCATCTGTAGCCTATAAATGAATTCTCCTGAGTGTTTTCACATATTTCGATAGACTATTTTACATGTCCAAAAAATACGGATGAAATCCCAGATGAAAGTGGGAAATTTACAAGAAGAAAAATCGGAAATTCCCTGAAATTAATGTCATAAAAAAATCGAAAATCACTCTGGTGTTTTCTTCTGAATACGGCCAATCCAAGGCAAAGTCTCTTCGGTGCATGGTAGTGATTGTGGGCTAAACTCAGGAGTATTTCCTCACTGCTAATTCCGATTGCAGAGTTTAATATAACTTTCCAGTGCATGCATAGCCTACTACACGGCAGACGTGTGTCTGATGTTGCAGCTTTGCCAAGGGAAGTTACTCTCATAAATGTGTGACTATGATGTCAGAGAATATTCAAGTTTTTTTACTTGTAGATTAATCTCGGAAATTAAATTCTGTCTCGGATTATTCCCCCTCTCCGTTGGCTCCTTTTTTTCTATTACAATGGACCTCATGTGCAGTAGTACCTTTACATCTTAATCATATTACACATAAAAGAAGAGCCCATAAAATACATTCAATAAGAACACTGAAGATAAGTAGTCTACAAATTTACTCAACGCAATACCAGCAAGCCGCCCTGGCTTTGTCGTCTGCCATGATATTAGATTTAGCCGTTAACTTGTCTTTACATTGATATTTTCCTGACACTACCAACATGCATTCCTCTGGAGAATGGGGCATTTAAGCTTTAAGCTTTTATGCGAACTCGCACCACCTCTGATTAAGTTAACACCAGGTTAACACTGACTCAACTAACATCTTATCCACCTTCGTAGTACCGTTTAACTCCAGTGTAGGCGATCTGAGTTTGTCAACCCTGAGTTTGTCTGATAACCCCGAGTTTGTCTGATAACCCAGAGTTAACTCTGAGTAGGTTGAACTCTCTTCGTAGTACAGGCCACAGGAACCGAACCTCAAAACAGGAAACGTGACAACAGACTAACAGACGTAGGGAACAGAGACGGAACCAACTGGGAATAGGACAACAATAAACATGCAACAGAACAGCGAATAAGGGAAATACCCAAACACAGACTATTTAACAGATACTGGACAAAGGACAACAGATAGAACCAAAACCCAAAACTCAACAACTCTAAGACAGATACTGAACAGATCAAAATAACAAACACTGAAGTACACGGACCAGGAGTAAATACTAAGACATTAACACCGGACTGGGATCTAAGACATGGAACCAAAACACATACTAAATAACAGATACCAAACTGATAAATGAATAAACTCAGAACTAAACGGAACAGATGACAGGACTAACATGCAGATACAAAACCAAACCCTCAGAATCAAAACCCAAAAACACAGCATTCAGGACAGAATTGTGTCACTACTAACTAATGAAAAACCCAAAACTATAATAACTCTGGCTGTTTGGGAGAACGAAGCATTTGTAAGCACACTGGTGTCCTGTAACTTTAGATTAAGATAATGTGACCTACTTGGTGTGAAATATAGTAATTATATATTTTAGTTTGGTGACATTTATACACACTTGGCCATGTGGAAGGTCAACCAGCAGAGGTCACTCTACCCCCTGTGAGGCGCCCAGAGACAAAACGGTTGGCCTATGCATCGAACCAAAATTATTAATGACTATTCTGACTTACTGTAATCAGATTACTTTTGTCTGTAACAAAGTAATGTAGTGCATTACTCTTGATACTTCAGTAATCACATTAAAGTTGCTAATAACAAAATGGCGTTACTTGCGAACTAGTTCTTGAACTATCCGGGAGGAGAGAAAAATAAATCAAACGTCCCTTTACATGCTTTTCCGACCTAACTTTTGACTTAGCGCCAGTTCATGAGGATGCAGAAACTGCAGAGCTGCCAAAGAAGTCTTTCAAGGGGTGGCGGTATTACTTCATATTGTTTGGCGGAAGGACAGTGATACCCTCTAGTGCGCATGTGGCAAGACTCTTTAGCCTGGGCAGCCTTGTGCTGACTCCGAGGAGGAACAGGTTGTCTGACAAACGATTTCAGAGACTCCTGCCCAGGGTGTGAACTACTGGGGAGCTTAGCACCCCTTAATAAGACATCAGGTCTTTGTGATATTTTGGGGGGTCTCTAAAATATTGACAGCTTGCCATTAATCTCTATATTTTTCTATCATGATTCTTTCACAGTCAGCCCCACAGTCTTCATTAATTAAAAAAATAAATGTTTCCAATCAACCACGCCTTTCGCCCGATGTCAGCTGGGATTGGCTCCAGCCCCCCGCGACCCTGTATGCAGGATAAGCAGTTGACGATGGATGGATGGATGTTTCCAATGAAATGTCCGAATAAAGTTTTAAGCATTATAGGACCGTAGCCTTGTTCTTCTCTTGACAAATGTTGGGCTGATGTTCACAACTTTGTTGTAAGCTTTGTAGTATTAAAGAACATAAGAGAGATCCTGTGCATGTTCTCATTATAATAAGGATTTGTGTTGATCTGGGCATATATGAGGTGTAACTTTAGATTGTTACTGTGTATCACAGGTGATGTTACGCAGTAATCCAAAAGGAATGTAACTAGTAGTGTAACTAGTTACTTTCAGCAGTGAGTATCTAGTAAAGTAAGGCATTACTTTAAAAAAAGTTTCTAGTAATGTGTAATCCATTATCTTATTTGAGCAACTACCCCAATACTTTCAAGGAGTAGCTCTGCTGCAACAGGAAGCTAATCACTGTTTGAAGGCATAGGGGTGTGCAGAACCTGACTTCTACTCTTTCAAGCTCACTATCACTGTTAAAACCTCTCTTAGCTTCCACAGTCGTTACACCTTCTGTGTCAAAACAAAATCTTTGGCACCATAAAGGCCTTAAAAGGGTTGATATGAACAGGACAGATATGTGGTCATTCAATATAGAAATAGCATTGTCAATGCGATGGGCTCAGTCTGGAGACCTCAGAAATCAACAGCAGTGGTGACAGGGTCAGGGATACACACGGTTTCTCACAGTCATCACATCTTTGACCTATGCCCTGACAAGGCTTCTCAGCAGACACCGCTTTCTGTCATGTTACTGAAGCTACATTGGTCTCCACTCTTCTTTAAACATCTCACCACACTCTGTTAATGACGATGTTAAAGTGTTCTTTCAAAAAGCCTCTACTGATAGGTGGTTTTCCATGCTGACATGAATACCCACACCCCTTGAGTGAGTCCCAGGGAGACTGTAGCAAAAAACTGAATGACTCAATCTGACTTTTATTTAACTTCCCACAGGTACGAACAATGTTGAGAACTGCCTTTGCCTGACGAAATAACGGTTAAATAGCACTATCA